ATCTAATTTCCTAACGAGCATTGATCAGAAATTCAAACTTTCAGGACGTGCATTTCACTGTCATGAAAAACAATGACTATGAAATTTCGAAAAACTCCATCTACAAAACTACGGGGTAGTGCGAAAGAACCAGTTCATCGTTTTGTATCAAAAAACGGCTCTTAACGTGAAAGTCGGTTTTACAAACAAAGGTACGCTTTAGTGCTTCGGCAGCACTGTGATTCCGATGTGGCAACCGATTTTGAGCGATATGACCCTTGACGGAACAAGCCCACAGGGTAGGCTGCGAGATACTCGATAATGAATAAAGAAAGGCACAACAACGGCTAACCAAATAATACATAATGTAGCACCGACACCGATGTTTCAATTCATCGACCCGACTGATACCGATGTTTCCACCCGTACCTCACGCGCATTCTTTGCAGTGAAATCGAGGCAATTGAGGAAGGTGTGTGACTGTTCGAGACCTCTGCAGCACCTGAAGCATCCGATGGATGAATATACCGCGCTGAGGATTAATAAACCCTTTATGTGCTGCCTATCAGTTTCCACACAATTAATAGTGATAAAATAAGGAAATATGCGGACATCCGAGATAAATCTGTTGTCAGGAAAATTATTGGTTGGGCGAGTACGGTAATAGCAGAAGTACTAATCTACTTGCTAATTTAAACAGTGTGCTTCAAACTGTCGTCCATGAGATGAGACGCCGCTTCGGGGTATGGAGGAGAAGCCGCCAGAGAACAAGGGTGGCAGTGCGCCGGATTTCACCGAAAAAGATGCCGAACGAACCAAACCTCACTGAGCCGTCGCCTGGAATTCTATTCACTCAGAGTGAAGGGCAAACGTAGATTCTGTGCGAAACGCTACGCCTCACAAGATGATCCCCAAACAGCTTAGAGTACGTACGAGTGTGCATTTCGTCGCTAAGCGTGCTGCCTGCAGACGTTGAAATACCTCGATCTTCCTGTTCAGGCAGCTCGCAAGGAACCTGGGAGCACAGGAATGAAGCGACACGGTGGTGTCGTGTCTTCCGATACGGACGTGCTAGGCCTCATATAATTAACGTGGAAATCGCGCCTGGCTTTCTCTTGAAAAAAAGTGAATTCGAATTCGAAGACGAAAAGACGACAGGGTTCGCTTTCAGCTGCACAGACCTTTCTTTCACTTAGGCAACGCTGCAATCTCTTGCAAGAGTTAGCCGACAACACCTGAACGGGATTGCCGAGTTCTGGAACGTCACTCTCAGCCGATGCACAACGGATTTCGAAGAACAAAATCACCTCACCTCATTGTCGTAAGCGAAATGCGCGTCAGAGCCCGTGAACGGTGTTGTGCTGAAGAGTCTCTCAAATGTCATAGTCTTCCTTAAGGGATTAACTCATCACCGAAATAAGACGATTCGCTAATTACGTTATCACTTGCGATGAAATGTCTATGGCTCGTAATTAAATAACCTCCAAAACGATTGTGTCGGTTTGCTGCATTTAATTAGCACTTGCGAATAATTATTTTAAGGATGTTGAATTACGGCATCAAATTCAATTATTGCTAAGCTTTCAAATATTTCAAAAATACTCGTCAAGTTTATGGGCTGAGTCAGCCAAGTATTTCCACTTTTTTCAGTACATGGCGGCGAAAACGGTCAGTGGAACTCCTACGCTTAGGACCCGTGGATTTGCGTGTCCTTACATGAACGACTGCTGCGCTTTCAACAGAAAAGTTCCTGCGTGAAACTCGTCTCATGGGTGGACATCAGATGGACAGAGAAAGGAGTTTTATCGATGCCGTGGTGTCTTAGCCGACGGAGCGTCCAACTCAGAACCGCGAGGGCCGGGCTTCGAGCCTCGGTCACATCACTGGCTCTCCGCTTTCTTTCCGACTCTGTTTCGGTACCACTCTGTGGTAAGGAAACAGGAGGCTATGCACTGTGTTTGCCGCATAGCTGCTCTCTAGTCCGTATTTAAAACACTGGCTGATGACATGTAAATGGAGATCAGCACCTTACGGAAGAAAACGTCAGAAATGGCCTCGTCACGAAAGTATAACGAATACAGATATTCCAATGACTGCAAACGCTCATTTTCCTTCAGTCGATACAGCACACCGATTATGGAGAAGGCTGTTTCCGCGTTAGCAGTCATTCGGCTAGCCTTCTGACAGAACTTTGCAGTTAACCAGTGAGTGACTATAGGTGGCCCGCTGATATCAACCTCATTTAATCTGCACAATGAAGCCATCATGCATTCTGGGTTAAAGGGCTAAATCGAAAGTCAAAAAATTGACGGAAGGTCAATCACCAGTCAGCGATACGCACACGACGCAACACAACAGTTATCTCCAGGAGAATTAGAGGGTGGGGGCGTGGGTGGTGAGAGAAAGTCCACATCACGAGCAAACAGTTTGCATAAATATATGCATTCCAGTCATAAATACATCGGACGGCTTTGGAGCTCAACAAGTCACTAGTTTCATATATCATGGCTCCATTGTGGAGGAGAACGATGACTGCTGTACGACAAAGATTCACCAATAAACGGTTCAATGACAACTGTCGTAAAAAATATAGCC